CGCACTGACCATTTTATTGATCAATTATATCTTAATTTAAGCGTATATAATATTTCATAACATTAAGTTATTATTATTTTTTTAATATTACGATTACGATGTTGAATATATACTCCTAACATCTTTTGCGCCTGCCTAATATCTGTTGTTTAGAGAAAGCAAGCAGTCTCCGAAATGCTCTGTATATACGTACCTGACCACTTGTGTATATGGGGTATACATGTGTATCGCTATTTTTGGCCGGATCGAGATACGACCCCAAAAAGCTATCGGTACGGCCGTCGGTTGTCGCGAAATCCGGAAGCCGCACCCGTTTCGAGGGCTGGACATGGACGTATGTGGCCCCTTTCTTTTTATGAAACTTCCGATAAACGCCCGCTGGCAAGGATTTCCGTTTCATTCGTCAACCTGTCCGACCCGAGACCCACGCGCGACACTCTTTTCTCTCTCTCTCTCTCTCTCTCTCTCTCTCTCTCTCTCTCTCTCTCTCTCTCTCTGCCTCTTTTTATCACTTTTCGAATATTTATTATTATACATTTTCCCTCTTATTTCAATGTTATATATTCACGCTTTTTTCCTACCAAAATATAAATCACATAATCGAAGAAAATATTTTAATGCTTATAAAGCACATATTATTGTTAACATAAGTTGAAACTACGTACTATTAAGAATATACATTTCAATTGCACAAATAATTTTTGCCGCTTTGATTTATAATTCAAGTCGACGTTCCAAATCTGATTTCTATAGAAAATATATTTCTATCCAATTTGCTCCAAATTACTTCGAATTTAAATCTCCTTTGTATTTATTTACATATCTACATTCTCTTGGACGCGATTCATTCATGGTGTCAAATATCGAAAAGATATGAACGCACGTAAATCGTCAGGTTACGGCGGACAGGTCTACAGAGTGTTTCCCTCTAACTATGGCAGCTCGAAACTTCCGGTCAGAGCATGTCGATAGAGACAAGCCACACCATTAAGCGCCGTGATACCCCATACAAATCACGTCGATCCACGATTTATGGTCCATTCACCCTCTCTCGCAATCGCGTTATCAGCGTCGATAGTTGCACGCCCAAAACGAGGCTTCTCCATGAAAACATGTCGCTACGACGATATAGAGAGAAGGGTCATTCCCTTGCCTCATATTAACGATTTATCAAAAATATGATTTTGATCTTCAACGATATTCCCAGCGCATTCCCGATCCCATTCTCAAATTATACACATTGCAATGCGCACACAATCATTTATGCGTAATATGATTTATGTATATGTTAAAGAGTTATTCCCGCTTCTTGTTTTGCTTTGAATACGATTTAATTCTAGAAACACCAAAATTCTCCATTGATTATATTAAATAATATTAAGAAGAAACGAATACATTCTTTTCTTTGTATTCACTTTTTTTTCATAATTTTTAATTTCATCTTATAATATTTACTTCCTACTAAGCTGTTGTATACTGAAAAAAGATTCTGGTTGAAAATGGATAAATTAAAATTTTTTGGTTAAAATTATTAGACGTCTAGTTGATACAATATGGTAAAATCTCTATACTAGAATACTTATTTTTACCAAAATAATTATATCAATCAGAATTTTAGTTATCGCAACTAGAATTCTAGTAAATTTAACCAGAAAATTCCGATTTATTCACACTTTCCCTCATCATCATCTATCTAATCCAACCAAACCATTTTCTTCAGTGTATTATAATATGAGTTATGAATCAATATTCATTTAGTAAACATAATTTTTTCAAAATGAAATACTTGCTAGCATTTTTTATTGAAACTTGGTGCTTCTAGATAAACTCCTCCGATATTTTAAGTTGCTTGCATAAAATATAGTGCACATATAAATCGTTATAATTTTCTAAAATAGCCTACAAGAAGAAACATATATATATATGAAAAAAAATTTTTTGACGCTTAAAGCCTAAATTTAAATAAATTTTAAATTATAATATGATATATACGCACACACACACACACACATTATATATATATATATATATGCGTAAATTATTTCTAATTTAACATTAATAGTTGTAATTGTATTTTATATTCTAAATTTTTATTTATATATCAACGTTATATGATTTATTAAAAGTCGCAGTTTGTTATATGATACATTTTATATTATTTTTTTTTTTCATTAAATTAAATATTTTAATTGATTAATTAAAATATATTTAAAATAAATTAAGAAATTTTTATGTATTTTCCAAAAATTTAATAACTTATTAAAATTATTTTTATTTGAAAGTTTAAAATTCAAATACTATTGTGTAATTTTTTAATAATTTTTAATTTGAGATTTAATGATCGCATGTATATAAAATTCGCAATTTCTATAACATCTTTTGTATTGATTGCATGAAAAAAATGCTGTTATTGAGAAATTAATCTTTGCATTTTATACTGTGAACATCTATCTAGATATGAATAAATACACACACACATAAAAGTTTAACCCGCTTCTACTTCTAACTATTTCTATTGCATCTCTTATTTGCATTCCAATTTTTCCACGATCCTCTCATATACATATGACATACCACGAAATAATATCTACTAAACTTCGAGAGACAGTATTTTCGCTGACACATTTACATTTGACGATAATCTTAAATGCTTTATTTAACTTGTTAGTGTAACTTCCCTTTTTATTTTTTTAAATGTTCTCGTAATGCGTGACAATAATATTCATTTTGCAAATCGCAATTTGTAATTAACTTATTAACAATATAACAAAAAAAAAACAATTTAGTAATATGTAATTAATAATACACCTATGCAACGTTCATTAAAATGCAAAATTGATAAATTTAAATTATATAAATTAATAATTTTCTAATTTCTTTTTAGTTAAAATTTATTCTTTTAGTTAAAACGTACGTGTATATACAGAAATTAATAAAGATAAACATAAAAAAATGTGTAATTATAAAAATAGTATAACATACGTTAGAGAAAATGAAATAGAAAATATTAGAAATACAAGAAAAAATTATTATTAAGAAAATATTCTTTATATTAAAGGTAACCGTTACTTAATAAAAAAAGAGAGTAAATTAAGTAATCACTTTTCTTGTAGCAATAGAATAATATTTTTCTATTTATACAAATCACGCAACTGCGCGCAGTTAAATTGTAGCATAGAAATACACAATAAGCTTTTACACAATAATATATATAATGTGTTATTTAATTCACGCAGTACGTCAACATAAATCCTTGTCTCTTCTTAGCCACGGTAACACAAATTCGCATTACAGATCGTACTCCCCGTTTTTATTTCTCATCATTCTCAGCTTTCTTCTTATTCTTTATTAATGTCAGGAGTGCCGGCGGTGTACTACCACGGAACAGGAAGTGAGAATGCAGGCCGCGCGTATACAGAGACGCCGATGCAACACATCCAACGCAATGCACTCCGGAAGAAATGTATGAAGTCGACATTCACTTTACTCGAAATACGCACTACTTCGAAACACCTTCTCTTTCTATCTGTCTTTTACATACGTACTCACACATACGCTCGCGTACCTTTTTTCGCCTTCATTCGTCTCTCTCTCTCTCTCTCTCTCTATCTGTATCTTTTTCACTTTCCTCCTATCTTTATCTGCAGAAATCCCTTATGCGCGATCTTTCGAAGTACAACTATTTCTCGAGAATTCTTCCTGAATCGTCCCGCCTCGTTTATCGCGTTTCGTTCGTTTCTGCCTTCGTCTATTCCGTACGGAAAATGCATATTAATACCGAAGTGCATTTCGATGCATCGAGTGCTACTCTGGGGAGTCTCTCTCGTACTGTAGTTTCGACGACGATCGATACCCCTAGGTTCCATTATTGCCACAACCAGCCGATGCATCCAAATCGAAACCGTAGTCGTGGCAGTAAACGCCAACGCGATTTCGAGCAGCCTCGCCCGATGGAGAAAACTGATACCAACGATACGAGCAAGAGCTTTCTAAGTGCCTAGAGAAAACACCTGTCACACTTTTCGGCGATGTATGGCGCTTCCGTTATTTCCAACGTGTTTCCTTACACGCGCGAACTCATCCGTCGAATGTAATTTTCCGGGATAGAAGAACCACGGTGTGTCTATACGAACGTTTGAGAGCGTTTTTACACTCGAGTGTGTCGAAGACGAGAGGCAGAAGGCACGTATACACTCGAGGATTGTCGACATCCTCGGACGAAACTCGAAAACAAGAGAGACGATTGACAAAGCAACACATTAAGAAAAATCACTTTTTTGCGCCTGTTCTCTCTTCAGTCGTCCATCTGGCGCGTCATCATTTCTCTGTTCTATTCTTTTCTTTTTTTTTTTCCTTTTATATGTATATATATATATATACATATATTGTGTATATATATATATATATATATATATATAT